GAATTCAAACTTTCATCCTCTTAGACCGGTTGCAATACACAGCTAGTGTGCCCAGTCCACCCTATCATTTAAGCCATATTTAAAGCGGGGAGATTCATACAAAAGTGAAATTTATTACTAAAACGTTATTTCAGAGGATACCCTTGTTTGATTAGTAAATGTAACACACTCGGTCGGAATTTGAACTCGATACATTGATTTATTCTTTCTTTCTTTTTTTTGAACCTGAAATTGTTACTCTGCCGCAAATCCAGAAAGAGGTTAATAAGTTAGAAACGTTTCCGTTTTAAGCAGTAATGAAAGATAAATAAACTTCCATTGATGTAGGCATGGAAAAACGTCTGGCAAGATCAGAGACGAACGCATTTTGAACAGAAAATAACCGTGATCAGTGGGAATTTAGGAAAACTAAGAGTTTGATGTTTGTTGGCATGGTGTGACATCAGGTATCTGCAGATAACCTAAGTGGTGTTTCCCTGATAAGTTAGGCATATTTTTTCATCGACAAATTGAGGCTTTCATGTCTCCTCATTGGGAAAGTGTTAAGCATGCACACGTATCTTGATCACGTCACTGGATTCCAGAACTTTTTAAAGACGACTGACTAGCGATATAAAGAAGAGTTTTAGATGATGACAAATAGAATTAATTCTCCCCGCCTTGCTATCTATCTATCTATCTATCTGTCTATCTATCTATACATCAGTTTCAAAATATATACAAGTTATTTAAAGAAAAAAATAAACTTAAAGAACAGTATTGAGATTGGCATAGAGAGATGGACTTTTATAGAGAATAAAAGAGAGCGTGCGTAAGAGAGAGCGTGCGTAAATATAAAAGTGAACACTTAGAGGCGATAGGGTGTTTCATGCTGGCCTGACGATTGCGTCTAGCATGAATCAGCCTGTCGCCTCTAAGTGTTGAGTTCAATGTTCACTTATATATATATATATATATATATATATATATATATATATATATATATATATATATATATATATAGTCATCCACAGACAGCCTGTTTCGCTGTAATACAGCTATTCAGTGTGGTTAGATACCCGGTTGCATCTAGATAGGTTCGAAACCCGGCTGAATAGGGGTCAGTCGGAGATTCTACCACTAAGCTGTCGGCAGGGACAAGAGTGAATTTTAGCGTATTTATTTTTAGGGAAACATACAGTAACTGCGAGGACTCGATTCCCTTTACCGAAGAGTCTTGCTATAATAGCCGTAACAGTCGCTGTTTACATAAATAATGAGAAGAATGAGATGCAGGACTCCATCAACAAAATAGTTAAGATTATTTAGTCTGTAGTCATTTAAATGGAAGAAACGCATCGCATCGACAGTGCAGTGTCAAATTCCATTAAAATTAGACAATGTCTTTCCTGAGCAATGGTTGTTTCTTTGTTTTTACTCATTTTAATAACAAATTCAGTATTTCTTATCAATAAACATTTCATATCAATATGCGTACACACACTAACACTTGTAGATTATATTCCAACTCCTATGTTCATGAAAAATAATAAATATTCACAATGCATTATAACAACATTATTAAATACATTTAAATATGCATCACATCACATATATTTATACAATTCGCTACACTACATTAGAATATTTTTAATAAAACTAGTTGAAAGCTAAAGAGACTATATGTGACACATGACTCGTTGGCAAATAAATAATTAAATTAACGCTGATTTGCTGCCGTTACGTATTTTGAAATAAATGCAAAGAAGAAGCAAGTATGTATACTAAATATATATATATATATTATTTTGAAAAACAAACAGCTACACTTGTTTGAATTTTGTATTCAAAGTACATTTTATGGAAGAAATTTCTCTTTTAATTTAAAGCAGTAAAACATATATCTAGGTACCGTCACAAACTTTATATTAGCTTGGCCAGAAAGCCCTCACTGACTTAGAAAGCGGAAAGAAAACAAAAAATCTTGCTTTCTGTCTTGTGAAACTTCCAAGAATCCTGCATTTCGAGTTTGTTCCACACGCCGCAACATCAACGCTAAACTGCATGTACGATTAAGAAGGAATATCCTGTTTTGGTCAATCGAGGTCAAGCTTTGTTTAAACAAGACAATACGAGGCCACACACCGCCAAGTTGACTAAGGAGAATTTCAAACAGATGGACGGTGTTGAAATTCTTCTCTGAGTGGCACACTTTCTACATTTTGAAGAACGAATGTTGGTGCTGCTCAATAAAATTTTATGGTTTTCTTTCTGCTTTCTAAGTGAGTCAGGAATTTCTAGCCAACTTAATATTTTAAATGCCTTCTTTGAATTTAAATTTCAGTTCTGTTTGGAAGATAATGGTCGAAAGTCAATCCGAATTAAAAGAAAAATTAATTTCCGTATATAAATGAACGTCTTAGGCATTTTTAAAGTATTAGCACTATTTTGTCTCTCATCGATATCAAGCCGACATTGTATACGGAAAAAATTAAGAACAGATTTACAACTCTCTTTAAAATCCGATAATTATTCTATGGATGTGTTTCAAAGTCTGTTAGCAAATTTAAGGATTAATTAATTGGATTTTCGTAAAAGTAATGCTTACCCAGAACGTAAATGACGTTTTATTTACGCACGTTAAACCGAGAAGAAAAAAGTTAAAAGAGAAAAACACTAATCCCCTCGTTTCTCTCTGTTCGAAAAAGCACGTCAGAAAGTAAAAATAAATCCGAAAGAAGTATGTAAAACCAGCAGTGCAGTAATCATGTGTTTGTTATTTATTTTTAAAACTAAATTTACTTTAACCAATAGCTTAAGAATATAATTTTTTTATTCTTTACGCTCTTATTAAACTTATTATAATGAATAATTTTATTTGTTATTCTGATTTAACAGGAGATATTAAATTAGATTAATGTCATAATACTCTTCCGATACTGAATTATTTTCAATATTATTTTCCTTTTTGTACATCCATACAAAAATAATCTAACATGCTAAAAGGAAAAACAAAATTCTTTTAAAACTGTTTCACCCTCGAAAATGACAATTTTTAAGTCTTCAAACTTGTATGTATTTAATAAAATAAACTATTATGACGAACAGCATCGAGATCAAATTCAAAATTGTACTGAAAAATTACAAGTTATTTTTAAAAATAAATATTAAGATTTGTTACTGTTGTATCGGAAAGAAATAATCTGTTTTGTTAAATTATGCAAGCACAAAATCTCAAAAAAATATTTTTTGCGTTTTATTGTATTTTTGGACGAATTTTCCTATGTTAACACTCAGTATTATATATTTTTCACTTTGTAAATCTCTTATGACACTTCTGGCTTTTTGAAGGAATTTGATTGCCACTGGTTGTTCCACTATCTATTATCTTTGTGTTGAGCTATACGACTCCTTTGCATTTTTTATTTATTTTTAATAAGCATATCGATAATTGTGAAAATCTAGTTATCTAAAACCAATCTATTTATAATCAAGTGTGGAAATATCAACAGTTTGAGATAGATAGATAGATAGATAGATAGATAGATAGATAGATAGATAGATAGATAGATAGGGAAAACTAAGATGGATCGATAGAGAGAGAAAGAAGTAAGAATAGATAGTTAGATAGATAAATTTTCATGTCATGGTAGTAGAAGTGAGGAAATAAAAAGCTTGCCTTTATCACGATCATGGTTAATAACCCGTATCAGTGAAATGGTCCGTTTATTCGCATCGACACCCGATGACTTATTTCACCAAATGTCTTTTCCGAAATATAACACCCTCCCTCCTTTTTCGCTTCTCTCACTATTTCTTTTTCTTCATCGCGTCATTTTCAATAATACTTCTGAACTTGTTAACCTTTTCTTCTTCACTCGTTTCCCTGATAGCTTTGCACCGCAATGGCAATCAGGTATTATCCAGGTAAAATTACCGATCCGTTCACTTCATCTTTCAATCAAATATAGTTATCTTTATTCTGTTGGATCTGCTCCTTGTTATTGATTAAATTTATTTATTGGAAAAATTTCGCTTTTAATAGTAACCGACTCAGATTTCACAGTATTCTTTTTTCAATTTAAACATTTAGACAGGTATCATCATCATCATCATCATCATCATCATCATCATCATCATTGATTTGTGTTGTCTATTCATTTCTTTCTGGGTCTCAATCAGAGACAGAAGGTCAGAAATGACATCATAACATTTTCCACTGAACATTTATGCAAAAGAATAAAAATAAGACAAACTAAAAACGCACACATTTTACATAGATACAACCCTTCTTAATGTGGGAGATGTGTCTGTGTGATAATGTTTTTGCACTTCTTTAAGGCATGGACTTCCTGAGATCCCTTCAGTGAGTCTGTCAGAAAACTTTCCAATCAAACGTATGACCCCCAAAGACAACTGGAATTTTTCATGTCTTCATGTACTACAGGTTTTAGCCTTCCTCTTCAAGAACCTTATATTGCATGTAATAGCTTGTTAAGAAGAAATCACATTCAATTTTTGTGGTCTTTGATCACTAAGTCCGGGCACTGTAAAGCCCAATAAAATTGTTGCAGGTCCTATGTCTGTAACCAAGTCTGGATTATTATTATTATTATTATTATTATTATTATTATTATTATTATTATTATTATCTCTCTTCGTACGGTTTTCCTTTTCTGGTTTCCTGAAGTCAGAGAGAATATTTAATCATGGTTGCTACGTGGAAAGAAATCTACGCAAGCTGTAGATTGATTAACTGATTGATTTCGTTTTCACGGCTTACCAACCCTTTGTAGCTTATTTAGAGCTGCTTAAATTCGGGTATCGTGCGAGATACTGTTTTACAACGTGATATATCAGTAAGCCATACCATCCGCATGTTCAAGTTTACAGCACCTGGTATTCCAAGCTTTCACCCATCTATGTAGTGACAAGGCTCGACGTTGCTTAACGTCGGAGATCCCACGGGAAGGTGGTCCAATATCATGTGGCTCTAATCCATATCGCTCGCACATCCAAGGTTACAGCACCTGGTATTCCCAAGCTGTCACCCATCTAAGTACTGACGAAGCTCGATGTTGCTCAACTTCGGTGAACGTACGGGAACCAGCGTTTCAATATGATATGATAGCACCCGCATTCCCAAGCGGTTATCCATCTAGGTACGTTGGTTAATTTCGGTGATGGTACAGGGAACCAGTGCTTCAAGGTGTTGCGGCCATAAACCCTATTAGCAGTGGAATGTGTAATAAATATTATCCACACAAATAATGTTCCCTATTTTTTACGAGAGTAATGCCAGAATCTAAGACATACCAAACGTGTGGTCGGTTATTTCTGTCGGGTTCTGTTAGGTTAGATATTCGTAGAATCTGATGAAAAAACTGTAAAGACAAAAAAAAAAAAAAAACTGGACTCAAAATTCGAATTAACATTGACTATTACAAAAAGTGACATCGTTTGAGACTGAAACTGGATGTGAGGCTCCTTAACACCCCAGTGTGTACAATAGAAAGACAAGTTTCAAATAATATTTTTCGAAGGTGTATGATTCATTTCGGTGAAAAACACTCTGTTTCAGTTTTCTGTAGTTGCGAAGAACACCGAGCCACCTGGCTTTTCGTATCATCAGAATTTAAACATAACCCTTAATGCCTGAATTCCTGAGCTATTACTTAACGTTCCAGTGTGTGTTTGATTTTCATCCTGGGGTGTTGGGTGTCATAGGAGTAAAAAATTATTCTTTCATCTCGAGTGCATTCGTGGTGAGAAAAATTTGACAGAAACACGATGAGAAATAAAGTATATTTATTTATCCTATTAAAGCATTATAACATTCTGTGAGATCTCATCACGAGAATCTGTCCTTCTTTTCTGTACCCACTTTTCTGTTTAGTCTTCTTTTTTTTTGTCTTTTTCATTCTTTTCTTTTTGCCTTCCTTTAGTCATTCTTTCTCTGTACTGTTTCCTTGAATTCTTCTACTGTTTCTTATTTATCCTGTTTTATTCCTTTTCCATTTCTCTCTTGTCTTATTGATTGGCTCTTTCATTCTCCAATTATTTGTTGTTTCGTTCTCCATTCTTTTTTCTTTATTCTTCGTTTATGTTTCTTTTTTCTATGATATTTTTGTTTCCCGATTCATTTTTCCCGTTTCTCTTCATCTTTCCTAATGTTTCTTTTTGTTTATTGATTCCTTTATTTCGTTCGTTAGCTAGTTTTGCCCTATTTTTTCTCTGTTTCTCCTTCTTTCTTTCTTTCTTTCTTTCTTTCGTTAGATTCTATCTATTTTTTTTCGGTTTCTTTTTCTTTTTTTAATTTTTATTTCGCTTGATTTTTCCAACATGATCTTTTTTACAAGGTTTCTTTCTTTCTTTCTTTCTTTCTTTCTTTCTTTCTTTCTTTCTTTCTTTCCTCCTTTCTTTCCTCCTTTCTTTCTTTCTTTCCTACAATGTATATTTTTCGCGGTTTCTTTTCCATCCTGTTTTCTTTCTTTCGCTTGATTTTGATTTCGATGCGACTACATAAAGCAACATGTCAGGAGAGTATTTTGCAAGCTGGTGAGGAATAAGGTTTTTCACAAGACCAACGAATGAAACTGGAGTTTGCTTGAACAGTGTGGCGTCTGTAATTCTTGGTGAAGTTCATTATTCACACCTTTGTCCCGGAAGAGATGTTTGGTTCCAGAAAGATAACGCATTCCTCATCGTGAGAGAGTGATATGAAAGTGGTGTCAGGAACACTCAAAACTGTTTCGGAAACCATTTTACCTTCCATCAGCATGGCTGATGCTAACCTGTAGGAGAGTGGCTTTTTGCGCCTTCTCAAATTAACGCTTTCCGATGACATGTAGTGGAAGAATATATTAAAACCTTTGCTATGTCTGCTGCATGGAAAATTGATTCACTCTGTCGTGTTTGACAATTATTCTCGCCAGAATATATATTACATATTTATAAGCTTACCATTCGTCATTCCTTTAAATATTGCTTTTGCATATGGTCTGGCGATACTGCTATATATTTAGAGATTCTTGATAATTTACAAAGAAAAATCTTTAAAAGAAAACTGTGGCGCTGAATAAGTAAATAAAAAAAGATTAATTTTATTTCTGCTATGGTATCAGATGTCGCGTCAGAATGTTTTGAGTTGGAGGGATGGTTTGAACTGTCGTTTGAATTTATTAGGCAAAATTAAATAAACATATTTTACTTGAATAAAAAGGTAATAAAATCATCAAGTATTGATCAACACCTGTAATAGAGCAAATAACAAACACACGATAAGTCTTTGAATCTTTTACATTTTAATATAGTGACTCTTTTTCTCAATAACAGTCAGTAATCTATCATCCATTGTTTTTTTTTAATTCAGCAGTTTCCATTTCCGACATTTTTAACAGTTTTTAGATTCAACCCTTTACCCATGTTTCAACATAATTTATGGACAAAAAGAAGAAAAAAATAGTTGTTATTAGATTTCAGAGATATTAAGCTAATATTAATTTAATCTGCATAATAACTTCAGTCAGTCCATTTTCGTAAATTCACAATATCTCAAAAACTAACGATTAAAAATGGATGAAAATTTAATTAAATATTTCAGCAAGGGTAAAAATGGACGAGTTGAAATTTGATAAATATTGCTTCATAAATTTTTTTGAGTTATTGAGGTTTATTTTTTGCATAATAACTTCAGACGTTCACAACATTTTAACTAACAGGAAGGACAAATGATCATCTTGATGGAAGCGGCTCACTCTTGGTGACGGCCTATTTTGGTATGATGTTTAAGAAACCAATTCGAAAATGAGGAATTTTCTATTCTGACCAGGCAACCAGTTACTGTAGACCTGTGCCAGAAGCAGTTAAGATTTCTGAAGTATTATATAATTAGTATATACACTTGATGCCATGTATATAACATATAAAAGACTATAGATCAACAGGTTTCACCAAGGGTATAGAAGATAACATAAAATTTTAACCCCCGTTAATCCATTATTCGTACGTCTGAAATGCCGATCTTCGACCAACTAAGGCAGAATTTACACTTGCACAAAATTTCTAAAATGGAGAATTCATTTATTGATCTATTTTTCATCTCTGGGGTTTTGAACTACTTGCAGCGTTTACATGGAGATTGGATCTGAGATATGCTTGTAGTTGGTAGGATTTTTATTATGTATTTGCATTTACATTTGCGTGTAACATATTCATAAGGGATTGTTAAAATTTAAAGGGTAAAGATTAAGAAAACGGGAAAAAAGTTTGAAAACTTTTCCTCACGGAAACAAAAAAAAAAGAAGAAAAGGATTGTTTTGTTGAGGGAAATAAATTTAGTGATATTTATCGTCTTTCACAAATATTTGGGCAAATATATTTCTCTTTCTTGGTTTCTATTTCTTTCCTTCTTTTCTCTGGCAGGGTTAGGTTAGGGTAAAATATATATATATATATATATATATAAAGTATGTTTGGCAGAGTGTTTTCATTAAGACATGCCTCATTAAATAAATAGTTATAAGTTATTTTTTATTCTTAATAGAATCGTCTCTAATTTGCAGGCAAGGTTCTTAGTATCCTTATTAAAGGAAGAAAGAAAGTTACCATGTTGATGCATATTCATTTTATTCCGAGTACTTTCGACATTAGCACAATGTCATCATCATGGTCTTGTTTTTTTTCTAAGAAAAAATTGTTGCAATCATCTGAAAATTAAATTTTTACGTGTGAAGGGAAAAACGCTAAACTTATTATTATTTTATTTTGTATTAATTAAGTTTCTTATTGTTTATAAAATAGAAATTATAAAGAGATACACTGAGAAAAGTTATGCAACTGATAGAAGATTGTTTTTCTAACGTAGAACTTACAAACAACAGCATATGATTTAATACCCTTTCTTATTAAATCGTTTGCCATTTAACTGACGGAAAGCACTTTCTGTCTATAATATAATCTTTAAACAACAACAACCTTGATTTCATTTTTTTATATGTAGGAATTTTTTATAAATTCTCATAAAGCAAATGTTTGCTTATGATTTCCTCATACAAAATAGCTCATTCGTTAATAAGTATTTATATATATATATATATATATATATATATATATATATATATATATATATATATATATATATATGATAAATACTCGCTTTGAAAAACCTTGGATAGTTAGACTTGTAGTAGAATAAATCGGTACCTAAGGAAAACTGAGGAATAAAAAAAAGAAAGAACCAAGAACATTAAACTAATGCGAAAACAACGGTCCAGAGTTCAAGTACAAAGAAAAAAAAACCTAAAGTTTACATAGGATCCACCCAGAATAATTTCAAAAAACGATATTATAACCACCTAAGTAGGTTCAATAGCGTACATCACTACCATGTCCACTTATGTATGCAAGATCAAACAAGAAGATAATAAGGACCCTATTTTTAAATGGGAAATATTAAAAAAGTGTTAAAAATATAAGACAGGTGATAAGTTTTGTTCCCTATGCAAAAACTAGCTATTGCTAGCTATAAGGAACCCAATAATTTATTGAAACTAAAATCGGAAATTCTTAGTAGTTATAGACATTGGAAACGCTGGTCATTAGAGAATTTTTTTTTGTTATTGCTGTTGAATAAAGTACGTAACCCCTACCCGCCCCCGTTGTTTGAGTTTATTATATTTTTTTTTTTTAGCTATAAATTCTGTTCCATAATTTTCCCTTTCAGCTGGCATCGCCCTGACGATCCGTTTAGGTGAAACCTAGGTAGGTTTGACTGGCTCTGAATGGAAGATTGTATGAACTGCATGAAACTGAGTAGTGTTATCAACGTTAGATATTATGTATACACACACACACACACACACACACACACACACCCACACACACACCACACATAGATTATTTCACTTAACGCATATTAACTCAAAGTTTCGTTCCCATATAGATGTAGCCACTGGAGAATTGATTACAGCTATAGAACCATGAAACTTTGCAGTAAACATAATTTAAGTGAAAAAAAAAAAAACACACACATGCATATATATATATATATGCATATATATATATATATATATATATATATATTCAGGGGAGAAGGTAATCCGTAAGGAACTGAGAACAAAAACAACAGGA